GACTACACTCTTCCAATTGTGCTGTTATTCTCACTTAAGATGAAGGCTTACAGAACAAAATAGTTTCTCATTTAACAGTTACTACAAATGTTGTCCTGTGACGATGGTTAACAATCTCACAACACATCAACAATAACCTTACTCAACCTTGGGTTCCCTATCATCAGCTTCCTTGTCCCCTTCTGCCTTCTGGCCCTTGTCACTGGACTCCTGTACCTCGTTAGTCTCATTTGGTTTTACTGGGCTGTCCACTCCCAGACTGAACAGGATGCACATCGCTTTAGATAAGTGCACAGGAAGGAAGAGAACAATAACCTCAGCCGGGCCCTTTAAAGGGAGTGGATGCAGAGGGTAATGAATGGATAAACCAGCTCCTCCTCGTTCCCCACGCACTTTCTCTGGGCTTTGCCTATTATTTGAGCTGCTTCCACTACTGCTCTTGATTCTCTAGGGTACATCCATCTCCCAGGAGGCTGTGGGCTCTCAAAGGACAGGGGCTGGGTCCCTGTCCACCTCTGAGACCCCAGCACCCAGCACTTTGCCAGGCAATGGCCCAGTCAAGGTTGCCCCTTTCCTGAAAGATGGTGGGGTGGCCCTGCCCAGCATGTGCTCTCAACTTCCGTGTGGATGGGCTTGGAAAACTGAGAAAACAGAATCAAGACACCCAGAGCTCCATGGTTATCCACACCAACCACCTAATGCAAGAATCCTCCTCTAGCATCCCTCATCAACTCTTCCCTGGCTTCTGCTTGCATGCTGCTAGTGACAGGGCGCTCACTACTACTAAGGCAGTCCCTTCCATGCTGGAGATTTTGGAGTGATTGTTATAAAGCTCCTCCTATTGATGTAAGCCCAGGCTCTCTAGTACTTCCATCCCCAGACCCTACTTCTAGTTCCTAGGGTCACACCAAGCAAAGTACTGGATAGTGTCTCCAAGTCAGTGGGGGCAGTCAGGGATGACACTGTAGCAACCCAGCATCCTTCTGCATGCTGGGAAGGCAGAAGAGGGGGCGACAGATGAATTAATCATTCCAGTCTGACCCGGCTCTCTTAAGGCAGTGAGCTGAGCCCTGAACTGTTGCAAAGACTACTGCAGAGCCCCAAGTCAGGGTGGACCCTGGGTCTGTGCTTCACTCAACAAGCCTAGGAACAATCCTGAAGTCTCCCTTCCTTTCTCCCTTCTTCCCTCTTTTCCTTTCTCCCTCTCACCCTCCCTCATGCCTTCCATTCGTTCATTCATTCTTGATTATCACTGAGCAGGTGCTCCTGGAAGCAGGTTTGTTGGCACTGTGGGCCACAGTGGCATCTACAGATCAGATTTTAGTCAACTTGGTAATCAGGACAGCTAACAGTCTCTGAGTGCTTACTCACTGCCAGGCACTATTCTAAGAGTTTACACCTGCATACAGGGCACAGCCTCTCCTGCCCAGTCCAGCTCCGGCTAGAGTATGGGGGTGGGGTGTGGTAGGTCTGCTTGGCATGCTTGTTCTGAGTGCCTGGCACACAGCATTCAATAAGTATTAGCTGCTACAATTAACTCTAAAACTCTCCAAGAACCATAGGCAGTTCATACTATTGATTGACCCCATTTTGTAGATCGGTAAACTTGATACCCAGAGGTTAAGTAACTTGCCCCAGGCCACACAGTCACTAAAAGGTAGTGTCTGCATTTGAATCAAAGCTATCTGGTTCCAAAGTGGGCTTGATTAACCCTTAACGAACTAGTGGAGCTCAGACCTGGAGTCAAATGCCCACCCACCTACCTAGATGTCTGGGGCAGCCACTCACCTTTCTCAGCTCTATTTATTTAGCTTGTAAAATAGACCCTCTCATCCTTGCTTGCCACCTCCCTCCCCCATTGTGACCATCTAATAAGATGAAGAGATAGATCCAAGCAGTTTTCCAGGAGGGAGGGTGTGCGATGGTGAGTTTTGGGGTGGGGAGCACATTACTGGTCACAGAGGGTTGAAATGAGCTCTCAATTTTGGGACTAAGGGAGTATTGTTTATAGGAGTCTGGTTCTTCTGACATCACCTTCAGCCTGGCCAGCTCCCAGAGAACCCCCCAGGATCCCCAGGATGTGCAGAGATAAAAGGCCTGTCAAAAGTGCCCCCCCCCAGGTATTCTGGAGACCCAGATAAGATCCTAGCCCAGTGACAGTGGAATTTACAGCAGCATCTATTGAAGCCAGATTTTAGGGTGGAAGATGGAGAAAAGGAGGGGATTATGTTATTTGGCAAAATAGCACCAAGTAGAGGGAGGAAAGGGTGGGCCTAGGCTGTAAATCGGAAGGCTAGATGAAATCAAACATCAGTGACCCAACTTGTGGCCGTGGAGTCAACTCTGACTCATGGCAACACCAGGTGTGTCAGAGTAAAACTGCACTCCACAGGTTTTTCAATGGCTGTAATCTTAAGGAAGTAGATCGCCAGGCCTTTCTTCTGCTGTGCTGGTGGATGGATTCTAACCCCCAACCTTCGGTTAGTAGCCAAGCGAAGACTTAGCACCATCCAGGGACCTACCATCTGTACAATGACCACCATCTGTACAATGGGACCAATCATACCGACCTCATAAATTGGGAGAATTAGATGAGTTAATACTTGTAACTTGCTTAGCACACGGTGTCTGGCATCGCGCCGGCACTCAGCAAACAGTCGCTATTATTGTAACTATGTTACTACACACTTGGATAAAACTACCAGCCGAAGCAGTCCCTTCCATTCTAGACACTGGCCTAGGCCCTAGGATACCGCAGGGATATTTAAGACAATGGTTTGTCAGCCTATGGGGGTGTTGATAGTGGAAGGAAGTGGGCGCCGCCTTCGAATTCACCGAGAAAGTCTTCCTGGGCAGCATGGAGCATGCAAAGGTCTCCCTGCCCTGTTTGAATCCCATGAGCCCTCTCCAGGGCATGAGTGCGCCCCCCGCAGGCGGTCTCCAGGAAGGCCTCGGCTGGGGAGTCCGGGAGTCCAGTCTTCCCAGCCCCTCTCTCTTGCCAGCCCCGGCGTCCACTCTCGGGGGCGAGGCAGCCGGGCGCGTGGGAGGGGACGGCGCGCCATTGGCTTGTGCGCGGCACTGAGAGGAGGGACCAGCGCGGGCCGCCAGACTCGGGTACACCCCGGCCGCGTAGGGCGCCGCGCGCAGTCCAGCCTGGCTCTACCCTGCGCGGGTGGCGCGATGTGAGGCGCCCGAACCGACCGTCCGCCCAGCTCGCCAGCCTCGCGCAGCCCCGGCGCCAGTATGCACTAGGCACGTAAGTTCTGCTCCCGCCGCCGCTCCGGAGCCCGGCACTTTCCCCTCCGTCGCCGGCCGGCTGGTGCCTGCGCAGCGCAGCCCAGTGGGGTTCCTGCGGCCTCAGGGACTGCGGGGGTGGGGGGAGGCGGACGGGGCGGCGGGGATCCCGTGCGCGGGAGCCGGGCGCCTCGGGACCTCTTGGCATCGCCGATCCTCTGGGACCCGAGGGGGTCTCCTTCCTGGCTGTCCTAGGTGTCGTCCCGCAGCCCACGTTTTCTCTCCTTCGCTTTCTCCCCTCGCAGCCCTTCCCTCTGACTCGATTTCCCTCTCTTCTCCGTCACTCCCCCTCCGCCGCCTCATCCTTCTTGCACTGTTGATTTCACCCTCAGCCTTCCCTTCTCGGGCTTGCCTCTCTGCTTCGGAGCAAGAGAGGAATAGAGCGAAACAGAGCGAAAAGAGGTTTCCCTCTCCTTGGGGTCTGCTTTTGTCCCTCCCGCTCTGTTCCATGTCCCCTCTGCCTCTATTTCTTCCCCGCCTCTCCTCCACCATTGTGTCTGGGTCCGAGGACTGCGCGAGTCCTCCCCACGCCGCCCCCGCAGAGCCGCGGGCGGACGGAGGTGGCGAAGTTCCCGCTGCCCCCAAGTCTGGCCCGACCTCCACGTTCCCGGGGACGTGTGGGCGGGAATACTGGGCGGGAGGACCGTGGGCGCCCAACAGCCCGGAGCTCCCTGCCTGGGGACCCCAGCTCTCCAGCCTCTGGTCTCAAAAATGGATTAGTGTCTGGAGCCGGGAGATGAGGCACTGATTGGAGAGGGGGAGGGGCAAGACAGGGCGAGACCCCCGCCCCCAGGCTGGGGAGGAGCAGGCAGAAATGGTGGCCGCGCCGGAGCTCCCGGGCGGAGGCAGGTGGAAAGAGACCGTTCTCTCGAGCCACGCGCGTAGGACGGGGCAGTGTGGGGTCACTGGCCCGGTGCAGGGAGGGCTAGGGTCCCCTGCCGTGGGCAAAATGCCCCCACCCACCCGGGAGCGGCCGGGATCTGCAGACGCGCGGTCGGAACCCGCGACCCCCTCCCGGCGCACCCCGCAGGGCCGGGCGCTCTCTCCGGGTTCCCGCACCCCTCTCTTCCTTCAGTCCCGGGCTCCAGTCGCCTCCTTGCGACCCGGGGGGAGCGGGTTTCTCTGCGCGGAAGATGGGGGCGGGGCGGCGTTAGGAGCGGGGTGGAGGCCGAGAAGCCCCAGGCTCCGTCAAAGCCCAGTGCCGACGGCCGAGTTCACCTTACCGCCCCTCACTTCCTGGTTGGGTTCCTTCAGACAAACTTTTCTTGGTGGGGCCAGCCTGTGGGGAGAAGGCCCCCGGGCTGCAGGGATGCCCACCCTAACTCTGCCGCTCCTTGGGCCTCCACTCCCGGCGACCTGGGAAGCGGGGACCCGCGACCTCCTCCTGCAGCCCGCAGATCCCAGGGACACGGGGGTGTTCTGTTGAAGAGCCGGGAGGTGGCAATGTCCACCCCTTTAACCACATCCCCACTCTAAACTCTTAGAAACTCAGCCCAGCGGGAGGAGGGAAAGGTTTTCTTTGCTGAGTTGTTAATAAATAAGACACAGCATATTCTCCAGCCCTCTCATCCCATGTGTAAAATGGGCCACCTGGACCTTGAGGTTTCTTCTGGCCCCAACATCCTGGGAACCAGCCACCCTGGCTCATATGTTATCAGCTTCATCAGTACTTCCAAATTTGGAGTGGAGGGCTGAGAGCCAAAACCCCTTCACTCAGGCATGGCTGTCACCACCTGCTGGTTCCCCTCTGCTGGCCCTATCTCCCCAGGGCCCCAACCCCACACTCAGCTTCCCCTCCCCTGACTATTGGACAGCCTCACTTCCGCCAAAGGCGCTCTGGTGGTACAACGGAAAAGGTTGGTGGTTCAAACCCAACCAGTCACTCCATGGAAGAAAGACCTGGTAATCTGCTCCTGTAAAGATTACAGCGTAGAAAACCCTATGGGGCAGCTCTACTCTGTCACATGAGGTCCTTATAAGTGGTAAATCTACTAGGTAGCACCTAACAATAACAACAGCACCTCTTAGAGAAAGAGAGAGCTAGCCCCTGCTGGGGAGAGGAGCCGGGTGGGATGGGATTAACAGCAACCCTCGATATTCACACAGTCTGGGGCTATTCTTTACTTTCACTGATTGAACAAAATGTGAGTGCTATGCCCAAAATGGTTTGTTGAGCAAAGTACCAGGTGTAATTCCAGGCACTGGGGAGACAGCTGTGGACAAAATAGCTTCTTGCCTTTATGGAGCAGACGTTTAAAGAGGGATGCGAACAACTAATAAAATAAGTAAACAGATTAAATAGTGCATTGGGATGTGAGGGGAAAAAAGTTGAATGTCAAGGGGGATGGAGGCTGGGGGTGGCGTTGCCATTTTAAATGGTAGTCAGGGAGGCCTCCCCGAGGAAGTGGCTTTTGAACAAAGATTTGAGGAGGTGAAGGAGTGAGCTGTGTGGGTAGATGTGCAAAGGCCCTGAGGCTAGAGTATGACTGGTATGTTTGAAGAGCCTGCAAGAAGGCCAGTGCAGCTAGAGTGGGATGAGGGAGTGGCAAAGAGATAGGAGGCAAGGCTGGCTGGGAAGGGTTGAAGCCCCAGTTTTACAGATAAGCTCAGAGATGGTATATAAGTGATCCCAGGACACACAGCCCCAGGACACATGGCAGGGCAGGTGCCTGATATTCTGACTCTTGGCGCAGGACATTTTCCCTACACCCTGCTTCTCAGTCATTTCTTTTAGCAACACTGGCTGCACCCCACCCAGGTGCCCAGGGACACAGAGGTGAGCTGCTCGGGCTTAGTGTCCCAAAGGGCTTCCTCCTGAAACCCATTCCCAGTCCCCTTCCCAGGCCCGCTGGGGTGGTAATGCACTGGGGTAGCATCTTCTTCCTGACCAAAGTGACCCTTGTTCTCTCTTTTCCCACTTCCTTCCTCCATCTACCCACTTCTAACACCCTCTTGGTACTGAGCTGGTTTGGTTAAGGGGGAAACTGGGGCAAAGAAGTTGAGTCTCCTAGTCTGAAAAGAACAGGACCAATTTTTATAGAGAATTTATTACTTCGCAGGTACTGTTCTAGGAGCTTTTTGTGCATCATCTCACTTGTGAGGTAGGTACCATCATTACACCCATTTAACAGGTGAGGAAATTGAGGTACAGAGAGAGCAGTCACTGCCATGCAACTAGTAAGTGGTGGTAGTGGTGGCTATGTGCCTTGGAGTTGATTCCGACTCATAGCAGCCCTATATGACAGAGTAGAACTGCCCCCTAGGTTTCCTAGGCTGTAATCTCTGTGTGAGCAAATTGCCAGGTCTTTCTCTCCCACCTTTCAGTTAGCAGCCAAGTGCTTAACAGTTGTGCCACTTGGGCTCCTGGTAAGTGGTTGAGCCAGGACTGAAGCACTGAGTCTCAACGCATCCCTTTAACCACTAAGCCAGATTCCCGAGCCCCAGGGAGACAAGTCCAGAACTTTGGTTCTGGCTCATCCCTATCCTGGGAAAAGAACGGCGGCCCTTCTGACCGCCTCGTCCAACGCATCCAGAAAACAAATCACCACTCACTTCTAAAAAAGTTGGCTCAAAATCGGAGAGCATTCCTTTAAAGAAATTGCCCTCCCTTCCCCTCCTGCCCTCCTCTCCTCCCCCTGCAGGCTCCCCAGCAGCCTTGGAGGTAGCGGGTGGGGGATGGGGGCCGAGGAGGGGTGAATTCTCAAGAGAGCCCTGGTCCCATGGGATCCCAAAGCCAGGCCGGCCCTATGACAACACCAGCTGCTCTTGAGGGCCCTGACCTGGTCACTGAGCCAAAGAGGGGAGCCTGGCCAATCCTGGGTCCTAAGGGACAAAAGTTCTCCATGAGTCACATTTGGGCCAGATAAGACCTCTAAGTAGTGATGGATGCTTATCAGAGGTATGGACCCCCACCCCCACCCCCACCCCCGAGTCGTGCACATAGCAGCAACTTCAGACCCTTGGGGGAGACACTTGGGGATGTCCCTCCTCCTTGCCCCCTGCCCTGCCCTCTACTCCCATCCAACGCAGCAGGGACTGTTTGTGTTTTGTTCCTGAAGCCTTGGAGATGTTTGTGATGAAAGTTTGGACTTTCCTCTGCCTTTCTGGGAATTGAATGCCTTCAAAAGAGATCGAGAACTAGCAGAGATAGAAGGCGAGAAGCCGTGAGTCACCCAGGCAAAGAGAGAGGGGGTGGAACATGGGGGTGGGACAGCCTGAGCTAGGGCCTTCTGTATGGCCAGTGAGAAGCAGGTTTTGGAAGCTAAATCAGCAATATCAGAGCTGGAAGGGGCCCTGGAACAGGGTGGGATTAACCAGTAAGCACAGTATGCACCGGCTTGCATTGAGCAAGGTACGCAGGGGCTTAATTGTATTTACTTGCTAATCTGTGGTGAGCAATTTCACCACATCTTTGATGTGATGGGGACAGGTGAAATTATGCACTGCAGATTGGTGGCAAGGCACAACTGGGCCCATGCGTACCCTGCTTAGTGGGTAATCCAGCCCTTTTTGGAGACCACGTTCCCATATTTTTTAGGTGAGGAAACTGAGACCCAAAGAGGGACCATGCCTCATCAGTGATGGCAGAATCTGAACGCGCCCTCAGCTGCCCTCTCTCCCAGTTCAGTGACTCCAGGCACACATGCCAGCCTCCTGCTTCGGTGCAAACTTCATTGCCAGCTCAGAGCCTGACCTCCCTCCCGCAGGTTCACGTTCGCGGAGATTCTTGTGAATGGGGCGTGGAATCCTGTTCTTGACCTTAGAGCTTAGTTATGAGGACGGGATTTACATCGTGCCCCCTCCTCTCCCCTGTCGGTTCTACCCTTTGTCATCCTCACCCTCAGCAGCAGCGTTGATAGTGAGCCTAGCAGAGATGCTGGGATGATGAGAGGGATGGATGACGTAGCCCCGCCCTCCTCAGCTCCCGGTCTGTTTGAGAGACAAGTCTGACTAAGCAGGCCC